ACTGTGTGATGCTGTTCTTTAAAAAAGAACCCTAAACATCATGGCATTCACTGGCCTTCTGTCTTAAATGAGTTTCATGTAGGTGCTCTCTGAGATCCCAAGGCAGAGATGACTGAAGCAGGACAAAGTGACAGATAAACAAGTTTTCTTACCAACCTTGTTAACTTTTGGGGAATCTGCACAGTAAAAGAAAAACAAGTTCACTAAGAGAGAAGTGGTTTGTCACTGTACTCTGAACAGAAGAGACACCAGAACCAAGCTGACTTTAATCTATCTTCAGCACTGCAGAATCTGAGGAAGGCAGCATGGGCTTGAGTCAAATTGGCACTTCTGTCTTTACTTCACTAGGGAAAATAAAAACTTGCCAAATCAGCTGTATGGAAAACCATTCCAGACTGCAGAATTTCTTGAGATTCTTCACTGAGAAATTTGTTCAGAAAACAGGCCTGTAAATGGGGTATTCCTATCGATTAACCTCATGCATCTAACAGCTGCCTCAACCAGGAGTGCCAGACTTCAACTCTATACTTGATGAAGACAAACGAGCTCAATGAAGACTGACACAGAGCGTGATTCAGAGCAGGAATCTAGCTTGCGTGCTCTGAATCACACTTTCAAAAAAGCTGTCATCTTTCTCCCTTGACTGAGCTGTAAACTTATTTTTCTTTCAACAACCTAGGGGAGTTTCAGTAAGGCAACAGGCAAGCTGTCTTCTCTGAAACACTTTGTCCAATTTATGCTGAAAAAAGTAGCCCTATTTTTACTCTGTGATTTTGGCAGACAAACAAAAACACTATCTCTGGGTTTAAAAGGGGCATGAAAGGACTTTGAAAGGCAAGTTGTCTGATAAAACATCCCAATGCAAAAAATAATATGAAGAGCAAACTTAAACTAATTTAAATATCATATCACAAACAGCATCAGAAAAGTAAGCTGGTCTACTTAGCTTTAGAGCTTGGCTGGAATGAGAATCTTGCAGTCATGATTCTTTTAGCACATCTACATGAGGTTTTATGAGAGAGCTTTTAACAGTAGCACTACTACCATGTCTTCAGAAGTCAGAGTAAATGTTTCCAATTTTTATTTCCAGAGTTTGGTGCAATCAAAGTGAGACTGTTTAAGCAGCTAGTATCTGAAATGCAGATTTATAAGGGTTTCAACACAGTCCTCTGTCAGAAAGGACATCAGGTAACAGCTTACATTAGCTGATGCAGTAGCTCCTAAATAAGGTAGCTTTGTGCTTCTGTCTGTCTTTCCCTTCCACACACTGTGTTGTATCATCCACAAATTTTTTTCTCCTCTTCTGATGAGAAGGAGCTGTGAGCCTGTGCAACCGGGAAGACAAAGAGCAAGGAAACTTAAAAGAGTTTAAGAGCCAACAGATCTGCAGTTAACGCCCTTGGTGAGTAAAGTTTTGGTGCTGCTCCACATCACTCCCATGCTGGCCATGGCTGACAGGAGGGTTCCAGGAATGTGAATATCTACAGAATCCATAAAAACAAGGCTCACCATCAGTCGGCAGCTCCCCACCTATTCCTCTGGGGGAAATAATTACTTTTAGCCAAAGCCATTTATTGAGAATACGATAAAACTTACAAAACGCAGCCTACACTACTTGGATTTTGTGTGTTTACAGGAGCTACTTTATTCCACTCAGCTGTTTCCACTGCTTAGGCCCATTGGAAACAGTCATTTCCCTCTTTATTCCCAAACACTGATGCTTACATTAGTGCAGTTCAGCAACTCACGGCTTAAAAGAGACAGCAATAATTTTAAAAAAATCTCCACAAAGATGTAAGATCAAAGCTTACAACTTCCATTCCACATAGAAACCCACAGGCTTTCTATCCACTTGTGTCAATCTTTTTTTACACACACGGCATCCTTGGCATTCGGCTGCGATGACGTGTAACTGTGAAAGGCACCGTTGTTTACTTGTTAAGTAATTCATGATTAATAACTTACTTAGTTTTTACCATGCTTTTTGCTTAGAAACAGAACATAAATAATATTAATGAAACAAAACCCTGAGAGGAACGTTTCCTGGATGCTGTGTGTAACTGTAGGTATAATAAGCCTTGGCTCACCTCGAGGCCGCAAGAAGTTAATGCTTTTCAAACATCTGACTGAAAAATTTCACCTTTGGGTAAGAAAATCTTCTGAGGGAGAAATTAAAACCTCTCAGTGGAGGAATTTTAAGTAAATCAGGAGAGGTAAAGTTAGGCAATTGTTTCTCTAAGTATAGTGTGAAATAATTCTTTTATGCTAAAACTGTACATACTGTAATTGCTACATTTATTACATGCAGTTCTAAAGTTTTAAATCAAGTATATTTTTCAAAGTTTAAGACCAAACCTGGCAACGTTCAAGGAATCCTAATTAAACCCAGAGCCATGCGTCTCTCTTTCATCCCTTCTGCTGGCCAGCACCGTCCCCGCGCTGCCTGCTGAGGACAGCCTTGCACCTGGGGCTGACAAAACCTCCCAAGAGAGGAAGGTGTCAGGGAGCTACAGGCCTCACGGTGGGGGAGCTGTCAGCAAATTAGGAGACTATGGTCATTAGCACCGTTTCTCTCTTGTCCTCTTCTGCTGTATTTGCCCCCAGCAGCCCTGGCCTGGCCCAGCCCACCCACATCCCCTCACCCTTCTTTGCCCTGTCCCACATATTTTACCCCACCTCACCCTTCCCCGCCACCAGGAAGTCACCAACATGATTCACTGTGACAGCAGCTCCCCTGAGCTGTCACAAGGACATCTTCAAAACATTTAAATGCTCTTCTGGATGCAAAGAGCACAGAAAACGGCAGGAGACCAAGCCTACCGCACACAGACAGGACGCAGTATGGGTGCGTCCCGCCAGACCACCAGCAGAATTTGCCCGCTGCCGGGGGCAGCTGCTCTACCCAGCAGGACAGAGGACGTAGCACAAAGCAGAACTTGCACTCTTCATTGCTTCGCTCAGTTGGTATCTTTCCCAAATCCTGCCCTTTAAAACAACTGAGCCTGTCCATACTCTTTAAGCTAGGAAAGAGGTGGAGTGCTAAATCCCCTGAATATCTGAGGGCAAGTGGAAAAACAAAGTCCAGGCAGTGGTAGTGAGACGACACAGCTTCAGCATGGAGCTGAGGAGGAGGGAAAGAAGTTATGATGCTCGGCAAGAGGATGGCAAACAGGAGGGATGGTGATCTTGGATCAGGTGAAAAAGACAGCACTGTGGAGGGGGGATGTAAAGAGCAAAGGGATAAGGAATTCAGCTGCAGGTCTATAGCAATTGGGAAGGAAACTGGTGCAAGAAATTGGCAAGGAAGAAAAGGAGCCAAAGCTCCTGGGGGGTGGGGTGGGGGGCATAGAAGAAATACTTGTGACCTTTGGAAAACATTATGCTATATACCCTGTACGGTTCCAGAAACTCCCCATTCCTCCGCTGTCACTAAATACCTAGCCCAAAATGCATGTTATGCCTTCTTCCACTACCAAGTCCACAGAGAGGATGAGACCTCCTGCATTTCTTATGGCAGAAATTTCTGTAACTGAATGAAATTTTTAAATTCTTCTGCTAAAATATGATGTCATATTTTATACCTTTATTTTATATCTAGCTCTTTTATCTTGAATTGTTTTTCAAAAGCCCTTTAAATCATAAAAAAGGACAATATTAATACAGAAAAATCCTCAACATCCCTGCAAAACACTTTTTATTCTGGTCAAAGACTCAAAATTCAGTAAACCAGGTTTCTTGTGTGACCATAATTCTGCATTCTGATACAGGGTTAATATTCAGACTAGATAATTATATGCCACATTTACACCAGATATTTTTCTATTTGGTAGGAGGTGAAGGGTGGGGCAAAACAGACCAGCTAAGACAGAATCAGAAGCCACCTGAGAATGTGCCAGAACTGATATCAGAAAGTCATGTCAACTTGCAAAAATCCTCACATTTTCATCAGAACTCATTTTCACAATGGAAAAAATAACAGAAGATGTTATTTCAAATTTGATGGCTTCACATCCACACAATTTTGAACATTCTGAATGTTTATACAAAGAGCATCACATTTCTTCTTTCCCTTTTTTCTTCTTGTGGATTTACAGTAAAGCAGAATTAATAAGGCAAGTGGAAGTCCTGGTAACAGAAGACATTTGTTTTCATAACTGACTTTCAAAATGGTAAGTAGAAGATCACCCTCTTTAACTTTTCCTGCTATTGTATATTGAACAGATACAAGTATGCAACCACACAGAAACATTTTTTCTCCCCAAATTAGCATTATTACTTTATTTGTTGATTCATTACAATCTGCAAATCCAATAGTCAAAAAAATAAACTAGGCATAATGTTAAAGCATTTTACAAGCAAAATACTTTACTGTTTCTTTTTCAATTCGCATAGGGTGGGCTAAGTGTATTGGTTAAAGAATACAACCTACAGAAGAACAAAACCATAGTTCATCAAACTGTACTGAAGGGTGTTACGAACCTGTGAGTGAACAGTACTTAAACAGCTACAACCGTCAATGGAAAACCATACACTTGAATATTAACAAGGCTGCCTCCCCATGACCATGATGCATCATCAAGGCTGCAAGCCACTGGCCTTCTTTTCTTATGTTGTAGATCATCCTACTTTAAAGAAATTAAAGAGTTAAACAAGCCAGAATGCATCTACTTATGCTCATTTCTCTTCTACCTGAACAAAGGCCAGACTGGAGAGAGGGAATTTTTAAAGTCCGCTTCTGAAACTACTTATAGTAATGTCTGTCTCTCATATTTTCTGTCATGGAGCTAGCAAACTTGGAGCTTCATGCACACATCTCTATTATTGCTGTGCATCCAGGTAAAAAACTTTTTTTTTCACTGTGTAGCAACAAACTTCAGAGAGATCAGGATCCTTTCCCATTGTAACCACATCTCTGTTCCTCCTATGTATAAATCTGGCTTTGAAGTCTCACAAAACTAAAAAATAGTTGTTCTAGGCTGTAATAAAAAAAGAATATTAAATACCTTTGGTAAAAATAGATATATTTAAACAAGTTTAGAAAAGCAAATAGTTATATTGTCAAAAGGAGAGTATAAAAATGTACACGATAAAAAATAACAAACAAACAAGAAATCATCAGCCATAGTAGTAAGAATAAAGGCACTGTTCTTTTCAATGTTTGCTTCCTTAGCTCACGATATTGTCCAGTCTTCTTTCTAAAAGGCAGGAGCTTCACTAGAGCATATGGAAAAATCCAGTCCTTCCTACCAGCATGAGACAAATTAAGTTTAATTCGGACCAAGACAGTCTGTTTTGAACCAAGTTTATACAACAGAGAATGCTTCGATTTAGAGTACATAGGAGTAGTTGAACACAGAAAGAAAGGTTTCAGGTGTTTTCAACCAGAGGCCAGATGTACTGGAGCTGTAGAAATGAGACAGCCAGCAGGATCAAGTCTCCACGATGTGAGCCTTCTAACTTTATTTTTACTCCTACATTATAAATCCATGTATTGTCAAGAAAACTGTGGGGGACAAAAACAATACATATATTTTAAATCCCTCATTGATGCCTTTCTCCCATCCTTTCACTGGGCCTCCAAACAGAGCTGTCACACAACATATAATCCCAGTTTGGCTTCTCCTCTTTTTAGAGATCACTGTAAATCTTGAAGATGGAAGATCCCCAAAGCAAACAACTGAGATTACAGAAGGAGATAATGCACAAGCCCCATAATAGAATCAGCCATTGATTGAATGTGCTTTGAAAGAAAACAGCACAATTATATCATGTTTATCCTTCAGTATTCCCTTTGCACACACAGTCACACTCCTCGTGGTGTTCCAAGGGTACATCTGTCAATGATTTATGCAATCCTCGGACACCAATCCTTGGCTTCAGCTGAAGAACCTAGAGGAGAAGCAGCCAAGCATCAAGAAAACAGCAAGTGCTTCATCACACACCTAGACTACGAGATAGATTGCACTGGAAACACTCTGGATGACAGGAAGCATATTAAAAGAAATAGGCTCTCCTCAGCTGAATTTCTTCATTTATTCTACCCACTAATCATTATTTTTGCTTTTTCCTCAAGTCCTTTACAAATTTGATTAAAACATGTTGAACAAATACTTGCTTTTATCAAAGAAGAGAGTCTTGAAATTTCATATTTCTACTTAATTTTAAGGGCTAATATTATAGTTAACCCAATGGAATTCTTAGATAGTTCTATATTTAAAAATTTAGCTATAGATTTGTAACAATGGAAATGGACAGATATCTGTTCCTTCATAAAGTTCAGATCTACCCCTAGTGAAAGCTGAACAAGGAAGTGTAGTTTTGATATATTTGAACTGCACCAGTAAACAAATACCTCAGGAATGACTTAATAGTTCCACAGAAGAGTACTTTAATAAGGAAGATATTACTTTTTTATGTAACACCTCATTAAAATTATTTTTTTAAAATTACTACAAGTGTAATATATAAAATTCTAAAATATTAATATCGGTGTATTCCTATAGAAAAAATTAATTCCTTAATTAGCTTTCAGTATTTCTAGACATGGAAATGTAAAAAAAGCGCATACCTCGTGGTATTTTTTGGTGACTTTTGTTGGTACACACTGGCACTCATTGCAGCTCTGGTGACAACAGGCACAGTTTCCACCACAACGTTTCACCAGGAGGCACAATGGCCAGAAGATGGTGTCAGTTCGCTTCAGCTCCTCCCTCAGTGACACTGAGAAGTTGCGAGGAGTACAACTGTACAGCCGCACCTCCTCCTTTAGGAGGTTGAGATCGACCACTGCAAAAAGACAGACAAGCTGGGGCTTTTCTGATTTGTAATCCAACTAAATTGGTAGTAAATCAACTTCAACAGTGCAGAACCTTTGAGGAAAGTTCATTTTTGCACAGGGGGTACAGGTTCAGCACACAATTATAACACTACAATTATATGAATATCATGAAATCTAAATGAAATGATCGTTGCATAGGAATATTCACCAATTATTTTATAACTCTGGCAGAGTTGGTTCAAAGTAAACAAAGCAAGCTTTGGCTACTATGTTCCAATTAATGTTTTATCAAATCAACTCTAATGTAGTTCCCTTTGTTCATACTCAACCTCTGAGCTCTAGTATTGTTGCTTTTCTATATTAATTCTGGATTGGAGAAAAGCACATGACAATTAAAGATCCTGCAAACCTCCAAACACATTTTCACTCTTTTGCATAAAGCATTCAAACTTCTTTCCAAACCTACCACCATTAAGGGACAGAAGTAATGTCTAATTCACAGGGGTATTCTATCTGATTTAAAATAAATAAATAAATAAATAAATAAATAAAACCCTATGATAATATGGCTACTGAGACAACTGAAATAGAGGTCTTGAACAAAGAAGCAAAGAGCCTTAAACCAACTGGTTTTGAGCTAAATCAAGAGAAACTATGGGAATAAAAACCCCACAGTGCATTAATGTTACTTGACAATTAATTTATAGTTATTGCTAGCAGTTTGGAAATAAAAAGGTATAAAATAAAGCTAAAATATGTTCCTGATCTGAATCACCCTCTAGAGAAATACCTTTTTTGCCCCCTCTATATGTAAAGAGCCTCTAGAGCTCACCAAGGAGATCTTCAGCCTATCAAGGCAAGATAAGACCTCTGAATTCTGTTTAAACATGTAAGATATAAAGAGAACTTAGAAGTTGCATTTCTCTAGTAGAAATGCTCACTAGTACTGTCCCAGGAGATCTTCGGGCAGCAATTTCATTCCGTGTTTCTTCAAAAGTTTCTTTTGCAGACCATACCCATATACTGGCATCCATAAGTAAGGGGTTTTGCTGTGAAAGGTCAGTTAAACACACTGAAGGTTTTTCTCTGTTTGCACTTACAGTGAATGCCAAGCTGGGGCACTTCATTCCATCACTATCAGGTTAACATAGGCTCCTAAATAAACAATCCGATTTTTAAATGCAAGGAGTGTGTAATAACTCCAATAAAGTTAATGATAGGTCACCAGCCTGCCTCCCACACTGCAAGAGCATTCCTTGGAGAAAGCTGAGAAGGGAACAGAGGGAAAGAGAGACAAAACTTCCGGGGGAGAGATTCACTGTGAGAAATTAGAAATGATTTAAGCTCTTCTGATCAGCTAATAGCTCTAGGCTGAGTCATTTTGAGGGTGGACATGTCTACCTCCATTAATCAAGGACTGTGGATAGGAATGGAGTACTTCTTTCTCCTGTTATGTTTTCAAACATATAATAAGTAAACTGACTGAATAAGGATAAAATGCCTAAAGCACAATGAGAGAAATGCAAGTTCTGCTAATACTTTCTACTGGTATATTTCTACAGAGACTGATGTGCTTGGTATAGTGAATTTCAAAATAAGCCTATGTGTCCTAACACAATTGCTGCTCAGCCCTTCACCATGAAAAACTGAAAAGGAAATCTGGGCACTGATGACTCTTTTAGTGTGCCTTACTGGTACAACAGGCTTCAGGAGAGATGAAAAATGTCATGTTTGGTTTCCATGCTTTACAATGTGCTAAGGTATATTGCTATTATACCTCACAATGAACCCTTGCCCTACCTTATGTAATTCAATTTCATTAAAAGGTCTGTGGCAAATTTATCTAGTGCTTATATAATCACTTCTTTGAAGTGTGTGAATGAAGCTGTTATTTTTTCAAAGAATATCTGTCTGTCCAAAATTTATTTTAACACACTGTGGGCATGAAGCTAGATGAGAGAATGTATATATTCCCTTAAAAGTGTTTACTTAACCACAATAAAAGGTTACGTGGATTTCCCAAGTGCACTGAGTTACAGTACCTGTTATAATGTGAACATTTAAACACTCCCTTCAACTTGGCTTCCACTCACGTATCATGTTTGACACAACAGTCAAAGGTCTTTTGTCTAGCACTAGCTCAGAAGGAATGGAAGGCTCTGCAGTAGCACATGAATGGGAAACACTAAAAATAAAAGTAAGGGAAAAAGGAAGAAAAGGGAGAAAAAATGTAGATGCATGTAGGTCTACAGTAAAGGCTATTTCAAAAGTGTGCCTTCACAGGCACATACAATTGAAGTAATCCATATTCACACCAGCCTGAAAGTAACAGCTCTGCAATTGGCAGTGCAATTGTCTGGCATCTTCTGGGGTGTGTATCAAGTACCACAGGGAACCCTCTTTCCCAAAACATTTTTTAGCTGAATGCTGCTCTCAAAGTCAATGAAACAAATTAAATTATGGTTGGGGCACTTGTGTGTGGGCACAGATAGCCGCAGGATGGTTTTTATTCCTAAGAACCTTGGAGATGTTCCTGGAAGTGTAAGTTTACTGACAACAGGACAGGGCAATTACAAATCCCCAAACAAGAAGTAAAATTAAAAAAAAAAAAAAGTCACATAACCATTTGAGAAAAGCATCTACTAAGGACTATGGTTGGACTGTGACTCTGTTCTTCTTAAGCAGACTTCAGAATATGGTCTAATGATTATGCACAGATTTCTGTGGGAAGCAATGAGATTATATTTTTGTACAGCAAACCATATTTTTAAGGATGTTAGGATGTTTAATATTATAAAAGAATTTAGGACTATATGTAGACATCAAAGCCTCTGAACTTGGTGTTTCTTCTTTCCTGGCTAGAAGGTTTTGGAAGCATTTTATCCTGAGAAAACATCAGACACAGAAATTCTGTGGAATTTAGGTTGTCTAAATATAGGCTTTTACATATGAATTATTAAGTAGGAGTAGAGGACAATACTTTTCTCTACATAAAGTAACACACACTTTTAATTACATTTTCATTTAATCTAGATATAAATTGGTGTTTGTCTATGAAAGCAGGACAGTAATTTAGCTTTTACACTGAAATATTGCAAAAAAACCCAACCCTGATCTAAGAATAGAATCAAAGAGTTTGAAAAAACCAAACATTTTAGGGCATGCACTTTTCCCAAACATTTGTTTGAAAAGGTTTTTAAATACAGCAACATTCTACTAGAAGGAATAAGATTTAAAAAGTATAAAAAAAAAAAAAAAGAAAGAAAAAAAGAAGGTTTGCTTTCTTTATCTATTGAGCAGACCTAAAAGTTAATACGATGTCATCTCAAGTGGACATATTTTCCACCTCAGGCTATTACATTACACACTCGGTAATGCAGTCTGAGGGTGGTCTCTTAAAGATAAATGTGGCAATACTGTGATATGTTTATTCAGTGAAAAAAAAAAAAAAAAATCTATTTCAGCATCTAATTAGAAGTCTTTAAAAGATTTACTCTGATAGTTTCTTTCTAAGATATGTCTTGCAGGGAGTTCTTTTTGTCTACATAGATGTTATCCAACACCTGCATTTTAGTTTATGTAAGGTTTCACAAATTACATTTTGCTTTTCTCCCACTTACTGTATGTTTATGGCATATGTTTGGAAAATACTGAATCTCTTTAATTAGGAAAGTGTTAAATGACTATCTGAAAGGCATGGTCCATTGCTGAAAGCTTTTAAAAAGATCTCCTCTTTGACTCTTGATTTAGTTGCTGTGTGCATAGCTGTAGCAATACATGTAGGGTAGAAGTGTTGATTTTTAGGCTCTGATCCAAGAATTAGCTGTGAAAAACTTAAATTTGAGTTATGAAAGGTTTTACTTCCTCCCTTTTTTTTTTTCTGATCAGATGATAGACTCGTTTACATTTGTCAACAGAACAGAGTAGTCTATTCAGTTATGCTCATATATTTTCATTCCCATGCTGTATGGTTGGCAAGGAAGGAGGTATTGCCTGAATGCTACCCATCCACATGAAATCCATAAACATGAAATAGTGGGTGGCATCTGGATGATATGCAGTAGAAAATTCATGAATGTCAAATTTAGATGGAACAAAATGACTTGCTGAACAAGAAATAGCTCCACGAGTCTTGAAATATATCATCTACTTTACATCTGATTAAGTTGACAACTGCATGATCAGACTGACATGGATAGAGGAATTTCATGAGGTATCATGGAAGAGAAACATTTAGCTAATTGTTCTCAATTCATATGGTGTAGAGACTGGAACAATTCTAATGAAATAAACCAACTGTTCACATGATACAGTAAGTGTAAGAAATTACCTATCTCCACCCCAAAATAAAGTTTTTGCCCTACACAGAAAAAGAAACCCATAAAATTAGATTGAGTCATCCATCCAAGATGCCCTGCTACTTTGTGGAAATAAAGATCTCCCAGATTCCCTAGAGAAAATTATCAGCTTCTATTTTTTTTTTCTTGGTAACTTTATCCTGCTAAATTCCTTTCAGTTTTGAGTTGAGTTGTTGTAATTTTTTGACAATGTAATGGTGAGAATAGCTAACAATGTTCTCTGCTGTATTTCTAACATATTCCTTTCTTGGAACCAAAATTCAAGGTGAAGAATGCTCTTAATTACTGTTTCTTTGTTAAGAAAACATACCCGTAGAAAGCTGCTAGGCCAGACAGAGAGTAATTTACCTCTTGATTTTCTCCCATGAATATATGCCTTTCCAAGAAGTTGCCAAGTTGGCCTGTACAAATCTTCCAAATCCAGTTGCCACCGATCTGGTTCAAGGTACCGGATAAGTTCTTCCACAGTACTAAATCCAGCAACGGCATTGTTTAATACATCTAACGGTAAAGCTGATGGGGGTAGCAATGATGGGCTGGGTGCTTCTGTGTGGTGCTGCAATCAAAGCCAAGAGAAGAGTACCAGTCAGAGGGTTAATGGATCTGCTTTGATGAAGTGCTGTACTTTATGAAGTTACATAGCTGGGAAAGTTTATAAGTGGCTAGCTTGTTTCCAATGTACAGTTTACCTAATAAGACAAATTACAAGAGTCAAAAAGTACCTAATTATTCTTCAACGATAATTGTAAACAAACTTCCACTAGACAGAGGTTTCCCACTTCTTAACATTTCTAGCCTTGAAGATAGCATTCCAATATACCTGTTCTTTGAAGAAGTTCACTGAGTGAGGGACAAGATTTTAGAAACAGAACAAAGAATGACTTGAAAATATGGTTCCATTACAGGCAATTAGTGTAAACCTCTAGAAATCTGAGGAAACACACATTTCACATGCTGCCTTTCCTCTGAAACAGCCACAATCTTTTGTCTTGTCTTTCAATGTAAAATATGCACATAACCTAGCACAAAGATAGCAAATACTCCTGCTCTTTTCTATAGATGAAAAAAAATTACCAGTTGTGTTTTAGACAGTACTAATAATTATGTTTCTAATTAAACAATCATGAACAGAGTAAAACCAACATCTGGCATTACTGTAATTATTTCTCCCTTAAGAGGAAAAAAAATCCATGTTCCCAAGGATATCAAAAGTAGTTAAACGGTGAAACTGAGCACTGAAAAAGTCTATCTACTTTCCCACAGCACAAATCTCACTGACAAACTCACTGGATCAGGGGTGCTCAGTCATAGGCAATTCAAGCAAAGTGAGACTTCTGTTTTTGCTCACTCTATATTCTGTTCAAAAATTATGGACTGATTTGTATTTTCAGAAGAAGAAAAAAAAGGCAGGAAGGTAAACCTAAGCAGGAAGCTGTTGCCGCATCACTGTAACTTTCTTTAGGCTTTTAAAAAGGCAGATATCACCACAGACATTACGTCCGCAGTACTACACCAGAGCAATTTATCTCGACCATGTAAGAAGGATGAGGAAAGATTTGAAAATTTCCCTGATTTAGGGGATGGGAAGTATGAGAAATCTTGAACTTAAATGCATAGTGCTACATACATCACTGCTCTCAAGTGTAGTCTATATAAGATTTAGGGAAAATTTATTCACTGTAAGTACAGTCAGGTTTTGGAAAAAGTTGCTCAGAGAGGTTGCACAATATCCATCATTGGAAGCTTTCAATACATGACTGGATAAAGCCCTGAGCAATGATTTGACCTCAGAACTGACCCTACCCTGAGCAAAAGGTTAGAGACCTCCTGAGGTCCCTTGCTGAATTTTCCTACAACATAGTATTAAGAATGAAGGACTGAATGTTCCTCCAGTAAGTGAACTATCATGCTTCTTGTCCCTTCCCCATGCAGTGCCTGTCAGTACTGCACAACATTTACATACACATATTTATTAGTATGTATTTATAAATATTCAAAAATCTTCATACCATTTAGTGCCAAACGGCACTCTCAGTATGCTGTGAAGTGTATACATATTTTAACTTTTTCATCTGTAATGTCAGATCAGTTGTATTCATTTAACTTTTCAAAATGATCAGAGAAATTGATGAGAAATGTAACAGTTATGCAGTAAAAAATGATGTAATAAAATAATCCTTGCAACACTACATACTAAACAGCAGTTTTCTAAAATACATACGTCTGTGATAGCTGTATTTCATACCTATAATTATATTTTCATTTCTGTGCTCTCAATTCTATTAAATATGCATTTTTGGTTTCAGCTAAATGTGTGGTAGAAGGGGCAGCAAATGGAAGTAACCACCATGCCCTTCCTATTTCTTGCTTCAAGACTTTTTCTCTCTCCACCTACAAGAAATGCAGCCACTAGAATGATTTGTGCCGCTTTTTAACTGGGAATCTTACAAAGATAATACAAAATATAGATCTAGTGTGCTGCTACTGTTAGCTTTACTGTATTTTCATTTTGTTAATCTAGCATCATTTCCAATAGAGTGAAATAGTTGCTTCCCATTCTGGATGAATGTGGATTCCAAAAAGTTAAAATATTTCTTTTCCTCTTCTCTCCACTGCCCACATTAAAAATAATAACATGTTGATCCATATATTAGGTTATGATAATAAAGCAACAGATTCTGGTCTATAATTTAAATATTTGCTCTTAGCAAAATATGCTACTCAGCAAGTTTCAAAATAGTGCTGTGACACTATAATTCAGATGGTCAAAAAAATAATTCCAAAATTTTTCTTCCTGTTTTTCTCCACAGTGATGTATTTGTAACAGTCACATTTCCCAGTTTGAATGTGTAGGGTTTTGCTAAGGTAAAAAACAAAATAAGGATCAAATGGTAGAACTAGTACCTGGAGGAAAAAAAAGAAAAAATCTTCTCTTTTGTTTCCAGCTGAAGAATTTACTTTGGTGTCTCACTTCTACTGGGATTTTTTTTTTGTTGCCAATGAAATAGATGAATTCCAGATGAAAATCCATTGGTCTAGAATCTATTTCTACATTTCCACTAATTCATCGATTTGTGTTATTCTGGATTCAGTAGGCATTTGCCTGAGTTAAAATATTATGAGGATAACATGAATCATTGCACTTAATGGTAACACAATTAAAGTTGTCATCACTTTCTAATTATTCTCACAACAAACCAAAGCATAAAGAAAAAGCAATTGAAACAGCAAAATTGCACAACTTCGAAGATGTTTTAAAGTAGCTAAAATCAAGATTAAGAATGTTGTTCCTAATAATGTCTTAGTCAATTGAAATGACAGTTAAAATGTACCAAAGATTAAAGATAATTGATATAATAAACCTATAAATGCTGTAATTTATATTTATAACATAATAACCTTTATGAAATATCAATTCAATAAAATGTTTAATATAAATAGTAATTCAAATTATACTCTACAATGCTATTACTTGCTAATAGGTACTATTTATTTTATAATTTAAATCTTTTGGACAGAATGTCCAGGACAGCATAAATGGTACTCCTTCCTTTCACTAAAATTATATCTAGGAATTTTATACAATTTATAATTTCACTTGGTTTTCTCAGTTTTATTTTGTGTTCTATAGGCAATCTTTACACCCACAGTAAAATGATTTAATGCAAGAAATTAAAACTCCACTGTTGGACCATACCTTTTAGAAGAAGCAAATACAAAACTTCATCATAACTCTGAGATGTAGCATCATAGTTGCAACTTCAAAATGTTGAAATGCTCCTTAAATGATCTCTCCCTCACTTTATCGCAAGTCCATCACTTCCATTATAATTCCAATTAAATAATCTTAGATAAAAATCCACATGACTAGAATTTAATCTACATCTCTCTTGATATTCCTACTCTGACCCTTGCCTCCACCTACATGCCTGACACAAACCGGTGTTGTCAAGCCACACTGTGAAGCATTACCGACATCCATACTCAGTAGGTCTGAAAGATGCAATTTCACTGCAGAACGGTGGCATGAAAGCCTCCCAGGAGAACCACCAATAAGCTCTAGCTGTTTTGCTGCACAATGTTGATGGAGACAGTGAAGATGATCTTACAATGAAGTTGCTATCTGTCAACTGTACATCTGTAGCTGGCATCATCTAACTTACTCCACAGAACTATATCATGCCTCCCCTTGCAGGTTAGCTCACACATAATCAACATTTGATATAATAGACATCTCTATCTAATAGGGGAGACATAACCAAAGACAGCAGACACTTGCTTAAGTACAGCAGTTATCCAAAATAGCTTTCCTGATGGAGACCACTTACTAGGAAGTGATGTTCTCCAAGCTTTTCTACAATAAATACTAACAGTAAACACCTTTTCTGTCATAGCAGCACATCCTCAATTAATAACAAATGTTTTTAGTTTGAGACCACCTTCTTTATTTTTTGGCCTGAGCTGAATAATTTCTGTCAAGACAGATGTGAAAAATACATCAGCAAGCTCTGTATTTTAATGTGATTCCTCTAGTAAACAAAACACACTATGTTTTTTGTTTCTGTGCCCAGGAAACAATTTCAATTTACTTTAATAAGAACAAACATGTTTAAAACCAAGATAGAGCCAAACAGTTGCATCTTTACTGTTAGTTAAAATGATTCAGGATGAAAACCAGAGCAGAAAACATAGGGCTTCTGCTGCCCTGTAGAACAGCCAAGAATGACAATTGGTGTTGGATCAAACAGAATTTTCATTAGGTCTGTTTATATTGTATTTCTGCATGCGTACTTCGCTCTATCAAAACAATTACCTTATAGAAATCCCCTAAGGTGTTTACAAGCATAAAAGACAGGCAAATAGACCAAATTTAGGCAACACTTTAAGATACAGACTTGGAAAAAGGAAGGAAATAATGTAAATATCAACTCCACAAAACTATCCAGCCCTGAAGATTATACAAAACAACAGTACTTCAGAAAAAAACATAGGGAGTAAAATGCATTTTAGGGTGCTCACAATGGTAGTTGTGCCCTATTAAAGGAATCAAAGCTACTCCATCTAGCCTCGTTTTCAACGGGGAAAGGATAAGACGCTCTTATAAGCAGAATAAGCAGGTGACCATCAGTGAAGCTGTAAATCTGAGCAAAAACTGCAACAAATGAATTTGAAATTATGTAGTTGAATCTCAGTCCTAAAGGATGATTTAGTATATAGCCTAAGTTGAAGACTTGTGACTAATTTCTTGTTCTGACACATATTTCCTATGTGATCCTGAGCACAATATTTAGGCCACAGCTTCATGGTGTAAAGCATCTGGCAGCAGCATCTCCTTGCTACGCCAGGATGACTGTGTATGTGGCTGCATCATAAACAGAAAATATTCTTTCTGAAAAAGAATCTTTCTCATCTCCTTTTCTCTTTAACCACAACCATATTCACAGTGCAGACCTCCAAAGGCTTATAAGCCATCACAACCAAAAGCACAGAGGCTACTAACACAAATATGTTTAGATTCATTCTGGCACCAGGAATTTCATAGCATTCAGGTTTGTA